GCATTTGTAAAATGCTTTATACCTCCCTCCATCAATATTTCAACATGCAACACAGACATCAACATTTCATTTTAATTACGCTGCAAATTTCCCTGTCAAGGAAGAAAGCTGAACTCTGCAAGGCAGCCAAACCCCATCCTCATCTCCTCCTTGCCACGGGAGCACTGCAGCACCCAATTAGCCGCATCTTTTGTTCATCTGAGTCACGGGGCTGTATGTGTGCCCGGTGCGCGTCTCTCCCACAGGAGGAAGACTTCCAGCTGGGCTGAGTCTGGCCTTGCTTGTCCTTTTCTCGCCACGGGGTGAAAAGAGGTCTTGGAGCCTTTGGTGGATGTGTCTGTGGGAGCTGGCGCGTCGGCTGGAGCCCTCCGGCGGGCAGGAAGGGCGATCCAGCACAGGCAGAAGGTTTGGGGAGATAGGCTCTGACAGTGATTAGAGGCAAGGGAAGGCTTCCCTGCGACAGCAAGTGCCACGTTTTTTTTTTTTTTTTTTTTTAAAGCTGTCCTTTCTGCGGTTGCACTAGTTGCTAGGACTGTTTCCGTTCACAGGAGGAGAGAAGGAACGAAACCGAGGCACGCAAATCGCTGAATGACAGGGGCAAGTCAGCCAGTGCCCTCGTGTAGCCCTTTCTGGGAGATTTAAGAGATGGCCACTTACAGCTGAGTGGCAATACAGGAGCCAGTATGCTGCACGCCCAGTTAACGTGCTAGCCTGCGAAACTCCGCGCCAGAAGATACGACTGAGTCCTCTCCAAAAAACCTGATAGGTTTTCTCAAAGTCTAACATTCACAGGTATGAGAGCTAGGATAAACATATACATGACAAAATGTTTAACGAATGGAGGGGGTCCCCTAATGCAGAGAAAATATGCCCCTCCTGGTGGTGCTGTTCCATCATTGTCAATTATAAGGAGTGTTAAATGTTCCTCTGTAGCAGCTGGTGTGGGGTATTATTGTAGAGAGGGCATTAAATTAGATGTAATTCAATATGACAATTTCTGTGGTCATATCCTGAAGACAGTGGAAAAGGTGGAGAGAAGGAGCAGCACCCGTGACACACACAAATGCTAACTGGAAGGGAAAGAGGCATTTACTTCTTGTTAGCACATACAAATGTAAATGTACTGATTTATGTAGCTTCCCAAAGCTTAGCTGCTCGCTGCCTGAAGAAGCATTTTTACAACACATATCCAAATTAAGATGCCACTTACCAGATAAATTGCTCCATGTAGAAACTTTATTTGCAAAGTCAACATTTTTCCAACAGCCTTTTTAGAGTCCTTAAAGACTGAAAACAGACTGTGTGGTGAAAAAAATATCTGTTTGTTGCTGGTATCAGGGTTCAGGAGACAGTTTAGAGCAGAGAGAGGTGGTGTCATGACTGCCCAGTCTTGGATGGACAGGCGTTGGCATCTTTGGATATGTACTCATTAAAATTAATTCAAGTCCAAACAACACCAGGGAAATGATATAACAAATTAATCTCCTTATTTTGACCTGCCTGAGCACAGCAATTTGGGATTCCGCAGTGGAGGTCTGGCTACATGTTTCAAACTGAGATGTGGAGTGTGGGATGTATTATGCTTCACCCAACATCTTAATGCAACATTTCCTCTGCGGGGGAAGGTGTGGAAAGTAAAAGATAAAGCTGTGATCTCTGTTTTTAGCTCTTCCTAGGATTGTTGTCTCCCTTTTACTCAGAGCTACACCAGACTCGCATTGAGGAGCTCTCAGGTGGTGTTATCCATGGGACGGTGGGTATTTTCCTACTCTGTATGTATGCTTAATAATGCATGTACAATGATCAAACAATGTTAGGACAAGAATAGTTACTGATTTGGGGAACCTTTCCTAGGACCTCCTTGAAGTTCCTCTGAAGAGAGCTCTCCAGGAGCCTCACTTATGCAAAAATTAATCCCATGTCTGTAATGACAGAAGATGGGGAGGCACATACAAGGTAGAGGGCCCTGAAATAAAGTTGATTTGCAGGAAGACTGTAACAGGTTAAGAGGCAAGTGTTCATCTGCAAGCCTGGAGAGAGTCACCGGAGCTGGGAGATGTGAGGAGCACCTGCGGAGGGATGAGAGCTAGGGACAACACCAAAAAGCATTTCTGAGGAGGTGGGACCCCAGCAGTCGTGGTCGAGGCATGCCAAGTGCTAGATGGGTCACCCCATGCAGTAGCAAGGAACATTTCCTTGCATGGTATTGAGATGACACGGACCATCCTAACAGCCAGCAGTCTTGAACGGGAGAGTTTAAAAAGAGCTGGAATTTATCTGTCTTCCCAGGGAAGGAGTGCTGGCAGGTGTGGGTTGATCTGCAGGAGAAAAGAGGAGTCTGGATGGGAAGAGTTGTTTGCTGGGTTAATTTACCTCCCTGCGTGGTGCAGCAGTTGCTGTAAGTCAAGCTTAAAGAACCTGTGGCTGATGAACGTAGCCCGTAGATGTAGCCAGCGAGGCTTTTTGGGGTGAGACCTTTTTATCTGGACCCCGAGCAACAGGACTGTCAGAGAGCTGGCAGCAGGGAAAAAGAAAAATGATAGCGTTTTCTGAGCATCCCCTCCCCAAATACATGTTGGCACATCCCTGTGCAGCACAGAAATAAGCAGAAGGGATCTATTTATGTGGTTATGGGTTTGCTGTCCTTGGCTCCTGTTTGAATACACTCCATCCCGGAGTTGTTTTGCATTTCACCAGGGAGTCTTTTGTCTAAAGGGCATCGCTGCTACAGCAAAGTGGAGCGTGTCCCTGCCCCTGCTTTCTCCAGTGGATATCACATTTCATTACCCTGATGAGCCTGAGTGAATTCTCCCAGTTGTGTTAATTTGCCCACAAGCCAGCCTGTGTCACGTCCGCGAGAAGCCTGTGACATTTTCCAGCCTCCCCCATCCCTCCCGGTTTCGAAACCTTGAATAATAATCTCAGCCTTGTCCCTTTTTTCTACTTATTGCTTCTGAAATGGAGCTGAGAGGGGGTGGAACGGCCGAGACACCCCCTTCCTGACCGCACGGATGCGGTCAGCCCCAAGCCGGCCGAGCGTGGGAGGCGTTTGCCTCTCGGGGCTATATGTGTGCCAAATCTGCTGTGGTGCTACAAGGGCTCAGGGAAGGGGGGGGGAAGAGGGGGTGCCTTTGTGTGACCTCGGTCTTTGTGGGTTGGAGCTCATCAGTGAAACGGAAGGTGGGTGGTGGTGAGCGGGGCATCTCTTTCAGCATCATCCTACCCTTCGGGCTGCTGTGGTTTGAGAAGCAGAGTACTTTTGTGCATTTAATGCCTTCACCAATGCTTTTTTTTTTTTTTGTTTTTTTTTTTTTTTTTTGTTTTTTTTTCCCCTGAAGCAGGGGTGCATCGCTAGCGAGAGGACAGTGTAGCATTGGACAGCAAATGCTTTAAACCCAGGATCTGAACGCTGCGTTTCACAGTGCCCTGCAGGCAAGGCGTAGAGGAAGGATTTAAAATTAGATGCATGGGGGCAGGTGAGAAGTAAACTATTTGTGTTCCCAATGTGGTGCTGCTCCTTCCCCACGTCTTCAGCTTAATCCATGTTTTGGATTACATTATTGCACTGATAGTACCGGAGAGATGGGGCTGTTTTCCAAAATGCTGAGATCCAAAAGTGTGAAGTGAGATGTGCTTCTACATGTATCGCAAACAATATTAATGCATTTTTTTAAAAAAAAAAAAACAACTTCTCCTTTTACTAATGCTACCTTTAAATGATGATAATTTTGCTGTTCTAGCAGCCCTGAAGTTGAGCCATTGAAAAATCAGTGGTGCTTGTATCAGCCTAACCTTAAGGACAAGTATTAATTTCTCAAGAAGTCAAATGAGCTCTAACAGGACAGAGAAAATTAGCTACTGATTATTGGTACTTTTAAGAGAGATGAAGATGTGCTCTCTCAAAATACTTCTCCTGTGACTATGTCCCTCATCAAACCATCCCAGGAAGGCAAGTCAACACTCTGCGAGGCTTAGCTGTGCCTCATGCTCTCATCTGGTTATTAAGCCTTTTGGATAACCATCATTCTCTGCGTTCAGGTTTCTGAGAGGAAAGGTTAATGCACGTTGGCTCGTAAACACTCATAAACACTGAGGGGCTTTGCACCGAGCACACGAGAGCCTTGGTCACGTGCAGACAAGAGTTACTTGCACCTTGAGAACTGGTGACTGATTGAAGAAGAGTTTCAGGCTACGTGTACGAAGGGGCATTTGAATGGATTTGGCTGTAACACAAAGCTGTTGCTGGAGAGCTCTTTGGCAGAAGGAAAGAGGCTCCCAGCTAAGAGCTGGTTGTGTGTTGTATTCAAAGATGAGGGGTTGGGGATTGGAGTAAGTGGATCTTGCAGAAAATGGATCAGAGGTCAGGACACAGAAACTAAAGCAAAAGATAATGACAGGTAGGAGTAACCAGCAATGGAACTTGAAGCCTTGAGCACTTAAAATGTAGTGAAGAAGCCCCAGGAGCTTCACTCAGCCCTAAATAACCGGGATAGGCGAGAAGTGACTTGTGATGTGCTCCTAGGTGGGACAGGGTGATGGTCTGGGTGGCCAAGGGCTGCAAGGATATTGGGAGGGATTTGCTTGTGGCTAGCCTGGATGTAGCGTGCATGCCCCTCAGACCCATTTGGGAAGCAAAATCCTTGGTTTTTTTTTTTTTTTTCAAGAAGAGGAAAGGCTAGGACTCCCAGGCAAGCTGGGGGTGACAGCTTGGAGGCTCACTATGCACCAAGGCTATTGCTCAGCTTGCTTCACTGCTGGGGACAGACACACAGCACCACGTATCCTGTGGATATTGCTTCTGATTAATATTAGGCATTTCGCTTAAAACCAAGGTGATAGGAAGGTGGGTAGGTGCTGGTAGGCAGAAGGGGGGTAACTGAGGAGGATGTTTAGGGCGTCCTGACCGAGGCCACCTTTTGAGGTGTCTCCTTCTCCCTCCAGGAGCTTGTGAGCCTAACCTCACCCCTTTACCAGCTGCTTAATATCTGGGGACATCAACATGCCTTCATGGGACAAAGAAAGGTGTACCCCAGCCTGAGCAGAAGCAGGTGATCCAAGCCATCTCCAAACACTCTTAATCTGGCCAGAAGCTGCTACGGTGAGTGATTTCTAGTCCAAAGAGAAATTTCTTCTCCCAGCATCCCTCTGAGACATTTTGTCTTTGCCCTGAAAGAATTCCTCCCTGCATGTTGAGTCATGCTTGAAGAAGTGCTTGTTAAATAAGTACCGCTCAGCTTTGCTTAAAACAAATGAAGTTGATTTAATAGGGCTATAGAACGGCCAGGTATCTGTGTTATTTAAGAGTATTGGCACTTTGAAGGCCGAGCGCTAAAAGCACTTCATTTTTATTTCAACTGTTAATTGAAAATCAGCTGGTTCGTCTTGTTCTTTCCGCAGCTGCTCCTTCTCCTCTGCTCCCCATTCTCGTCTCCCCCACCCCCTGCAATAGGATAACAGCTGTTAATGCAACACCCCTGCACAACGTGCTAGTAAAAATGTGGCACAAGGCCAGGCTTTCACTTGTGGTTTATTGGTTTAATTAACCAGGGTGTTGCAGATACTTCTTTGTGAGGCAGAAATGAGAGAATCTAATGTTTCTTGGGCTGGATCCTTACATCATTTTTAGGCACCTGGTGAAGGCACCAAGGTAAAAACTTGGCTGCTTTGATTAACCTTGACTGAATTCAATAATACCTTGGAGTCACATTATTGCTGACCTTGTGTTTTGCTACCTTCTTATCTTTCTAATTTGTCTTTTCTTCCTGCCTTTGCAATAACAGTCAGAAGTGTTTTAAAAAATCTCCTGCCGTCTCATCGGAGAGCCCCTCTGCTTGCAGTGATTTATTTATTTATTTTAAATTTTCAGTATACTTCTTCTTGTTTGTGTTATTCTTGTGTTTACTCACACAAACATCTGCATGAGAATAGCTACTTAAGAGTTGCTTGGAGGTGGCCTTGTAATTTTTTTAAAAATTAATTTTTGTGATGATGTGCTCAATACTGCCAGCCATCAATATAATTTGGCATTTGTTCATGCAAAAATAAATTCTCCCGATGTGCCGTTTTAGGAGATGATCTTGACAATGTTCGTGACAAAGCAGTGTCGAAGCTGGGATGCCCACAAAGAAAAGTCCAGGTGCTGCTTGGGTTTATTTAGAGTGATTTTCTATTATTTTTAGTGAAGCCTCTGGCATTAGTTTGGAATAAGCTCCAGGGTGTTGTTCAGGGGCATTTATATGGGTGCAGCAGAAATCTTGTGGATCAAAGGACAATAAGGCCAGATCTTAAACTCCTTTAAGGTTTTTGAACACTCTTCTAGCCCTGATGCAATTCCAGTTTGGGGGTAAATGCCCTTTATGCTTCTCTCTTGATATTTCTTTCTCTTCTTTGCTTCCTTTTCATTTCCTGATACCTAACATCATACGCAGTTCCTGCGGTCCACCCTAGAAGGTGGTGGCAGTGATTCCTTCTTAAGACTTTCTAATGATCTTAAGGGTGATGGTTGTGTTTTGAAAGAGAAGAGATTGATTATCATCTTAATTGACAGTTCTCCTTTGCTAGGATCTCTCCAAATCAAGCCTATGGCAGGTCACATTTCTCTTGGGGGTATCCCAAGCATGCTGTTAATTTCTGGAAGCATCTGGTCAGGTGAGTAAATAGTTTATTAAGATTTACCTTCCTGCAGTGATTTTTCCATTGGAGTTCAAGATTTCTATGTGAGAAATGCCTCCTTTACTAGGAATTTTGAAGCAGAAACGTGGAGCTCAGTTCAGGACATCAGCAAGCAAAATGCTTGCAAAATACCCCCAAACTGGTACGGTCCTTTGTGGAGTGCTTTTGGTCTCTGTGTGTGTGAATGGCTTTAAGACTGAGGTGCAGGTAAGCGGGAGCTTGTGAGGCTCTTGCTCTGAGCAGGCCACTGTGTGAAGGTGCTTGTTGAGCTTATCTGAGAGATCCTACAGGCTTCAGGGTGTCTCCAGAGTTTTTCATAATGTAGCCCCCCCCCCATCTATGGGGTGGCTGCCTTTGCCTTCCCTGGGGAAATCCCGTGTCGCGATTCTGTGAGTCATGGGCAATTGAAATAACATCATCTGCTTCATGGGTGATAAAAGGTAGACAGAGTGCAGCTAGGAAAACGACATCATGCTCTGTCTCCTCTCACCTCCTATAACTGCTCTGACATCACCCCAGTAGCTGCAATTAGTTCACCCACCTGCTGATGGTGACAGAGCCAAGTATAGGGAAACAACTGTAGTTATCTTTGCTAGAGTTTGTAGCTGTCTGAGGCACATAGATGGTATTTCTCCTTCGGCTCTGCTGTTTGAACTACCTCATGCGGCTGGATGATTCATCAGTACCGTCGTCTGTGTGATACAGGTTTGGCCAGAAAGTCCTTGCTTTTAGATGGAGGCAGTTGGGGCTGGCACGGCCAAGTTGTTGGCTCTAGCCCCCTGCCTTTGTGGGCAACTTGAGAAGATGTTGAGTCCAAAAGGGTCCAGGGAACTTCTGTTGTCCAAATCCGTTGCACAGGCACTGGAGCCGAGGCTGGCTGCAAGCTGTGACCCGACCTTGCTTATCCTGACTCCTGGCACTGGGAGCCATCTCCTTGTGAGACCGTACTTGCAATGTGCTCTGAAACACCAGCAAGTGTAAAAGTTGGTAAATGCATCTCTTTGGCTTTTTTTTTTTCCCTCTCTGGAGCATGTTGAAATGCTAACTGTCCTGCTGACTGTCTGGTACAATGTAAGAAGCTGGTTGGAAGTGCAATGTCCTTAAGTGCTCGCTACCCAGAAGTTTATATCTTTGCTTGCATAACACTTCTCCGCTGCAAATCACAGTCTTGATAGTGTTCATAGTCTGGTGGTTTTGCGTAGGATCATCTCATTTGGAAGCAGATTTCATCTCTTGGCTAACACTCTGCTGGCCTGTCAGCTGGATCACAGGTTCCAGCCATTTCTCTAGGACTTTGAGAAAGGGGTGCTTACCAGATGGGATGTTTTATCTTTCTTTGGGAGTGGGTTTAGTCCAAGAATATATCAATATAGAATTTTCTACCTGCAGGTCAGGAGGAAGTCTACATGTATTTTTAGAAACACAGACAGTCAAACCATTAAATTAATTTGTCTTTGCTTGAATAAAAGCGCTCCTTGCTTTTAGAGAATGATAATGGCACTAGATTAATGTATCCAGGAGTACCATCGTGAGTGGCAGCTGGAGAATGAGAACTTGATGGGATCTAAAATGAAAGAAAAATGTTTGCAATCAGTTTTGTGCTTCGTTCTCCTCTTACCCCAGCTACCTGAGATGTTCAACACATAATTCTACAATTATGTGGAGTTTTTTAAAAGAAAGGCATTGTAAGTCTTCCATAAGAAACTCTCAAGGTACTATTTTCATGCAAATAGCTTTGTGTGATAAATCGAGGAACTTAAGAAAATATAGGAAATATGGGCAGAATGCATTTGAAATGTAAAAGTTTCCTGGGAGTTGTCAACAGCTCTTTAAGAAGTCTATTGCCCGCACCTTTCAGCAGCTTTTCTTTGTGATTGCTTGGGGAAAAAAAACAACAATTACTGAGCTGAAAAGATTGTATGTAGTCGTTGCACCGAGGAACAGCTCTCGAGAAGCAATAATGGAACGGAACCTGAAGATCGCCTTTCTGGCTTTGAGGAGCATCTTGATGACAACAATCCCCCCATTCTTTTTCCAGTTCCCAAACTTAAAGTAAGAGGGTACCCAGTTTTCTAGATGGATTTTCCTTAAGGATTCTCTGACACGTGTCCTCATACCTGCGCCTTTCCTTCAGTGACAACCCTAGCAAAGAAACCTGAATTTCCCTGTGGGAGGATCTTTGTCGCTCACACAGTCTCGTAGAGATGATGAGTGTATAAGCCTTGATTCTTCAGGGCAAAAACAGCTTGGAAAGCATCCTCTCCAAATTGAGTGTGGTATGAATAAAGCGAGTGACTTTTCCACACCACAAAGATGAGTACTTTCTACTTCATTGCTGCAGATGATTAAGGAAAACAATTGCATTCTGACAACATGCATTGACATTTTAAAATGAAAAAGAAATGAAGAACAGATTCTGGGAGGCTTGCCATTAATGATAATGGATTTCCCTGAATGGGAGCCTTTTTGAAAGTCTGATTTTTTTTTTTTTTTTTTTTTAATGTTGCCTAGAACAGGCAACCCTGTCACAGGGGACAACTAGTGGGTCAGAGGAGTTCAGGGGGTAATGTGGGGAGCGAAAATGGCTCTACACATGCACTCATGAGCCCACTTAAAGACAAACAAGAAAAATGCCTATGAGGGCAAAGAGGGGAGGGAAAGCTAGGTTAATGCTGATAAATGAATATTTGACGTTTAAGTTCAGCTTTCATTTGCTTGCAAATGAAAACTATTGTGTCAACACTGCAGGAGATGGTCCGTGCATTTTTACTCTCCCCCCCCCTCCCCTCCCCAGCCCAGCTAATTCTTCTTTGATTTTAAAAAAGTGAGAAATGTTGACTTTAAATGATAGACGAACAATCACAGTGCCTCCCTGGCAGTGTGTGCTGCACATCAACAGCACAGCCCCGCTCCAGCATCTGGCATCGAAGGAAGAGCTTTCCAGACAGGTGTAAAATCTATGGCAGTTAGCCCTTTTCCTGTAGGAGTTTGTTGTGCCTTGTGATACTAACTTTCAGCTGTGAGGCTGAAACTGGGATGTTTACAGCTGCATCTTTTTATAGGCATCATGCGATAGGTAATTTTATGTGAAAAATCTATTTAGTCCCCTGATGGAAGAAGTAAACTTAGGTGAGACTCATTCTCCCGTGAATTCTTGGCATGCCGTAAAAAAACCTGTTGCAGTGCTTCAAAATATTAGCTGTAAAACTTGTGCCTTGTTAAAGTTACAATCAGAAGATGTAGTAAACGAATTATTTAAGCATACATTACCGTGTAATGTTCATCTCGGGGCGCTTGGATTTTGACTCTGGAGTACCGTGCTTTGCCTGGCAATCTCACGGTGGCTGCTGGAGTGGGAAATACAAACCCTCCTTTAAATAATGCATCTCTTCCCTGCTGTGCCTCTCCTCTGGTTCAAAGATAGTCCCCCCCTTTAAAGTTAAATCAGTAGTTTTATCATTGCTCACAGGCAAAAGGTACCGCTCCAAAAAAAAATAATAAAAAAAAAAAAGGTTCCTTGGATGGAGAAGTTGTTTAACACTGGATGGAATTGCACCTTCTCCTCCGCTCTTGCTGGTTTTAATTGGTTCTTTGTAATGGTGTGTGCTTATTTGGATGGGAAGGCCCCGGGAGGGTGACAGAAGTTTGTGAGCCTCTGTTCTGGCAGACATCTCCACCCCTCCTGAACCCACCCACGGGGGAACCAAGCTCTTGGTGAATCTGTGCTGGATCAGAGCAGGGAACAGGTAGTTTCTAGGGTATTTGGTTGGGTTACTTTCCCCAGGCAGCTCTCCCAGAACTATTTCAGCCCTTGCAAAGTGCTTCTTGGTTTTTTTGTTTTTTTTTTTTTTTCCCCTTTCCTTTTGTATCTGTCACCCGTCGATGCTCCTGAAACAGTAAAGGCATAGATGTGGTGCAGTGCAGTAACTGAAAGGTGGATACGTTATAAAAGACGAGTGGATATGTTATAAAAGCATTGAGACACCTGAGCTGACGCTTTCTCAAAACTCACATCGTTGCTGTTGTCGTTTTTCAGAGCAGAGTCCAAAGTTTCATAGCACAGTCCCAAGGGCTGGAGAAGGGGAAACACTGGGGAGCTAGAAGCAAGCTGGGAAGGCATGGGTATGAAATGCAAACTGCTTGAATCTGGGCTCCTCTCCATGCCTGGTGCTCCCTGTTGGCTTTTTAAGGGCGTTTGGAGGTGTCTGTCTAACAGGAATGGCTTGGCACAGGTTCCCCGAGGAAATTTAAGTCATCTCAGCTCGGGCCTTAATTTCCATGAGTACTGTTTGGTCTAGAGCCTGCTTGGCTTTTTGGGCTGGGACTGCATCAATCCTGGCTTCTTAGAGGACATTCATCACTTAAGGAGGATAATATCAATCTGTTGGGATATCGGCGTCAGAGGTGAAACGTTAACGTAAGCTTTTTGTGATTCTCTGGCTTCTCTTCATAGGAACACCCAAACAGTTGGAAAGAGAAAAGTACATCTCCCTCCTCTTTGAAGGACCAGCACTGTGGGCAACCCGTGGTGGCAGCATCTGTGGAAATCCCCTCCAGTCTGTCCCTGCACTGAGGTTGCACAGGGATGTGTGTTAATGTTAGATATGTTCTTGCTACCGTCATTTTCTGTCTGAGGCACCTGCAAAGCCTGGATAGGGTAAAAGGCTCGTTTCTAACTTTGAATCACCAGTATTCTCTAGAGTCTCCTACTGGCCTAAATTTGGTTTACAAAGCTGTTAAAGCCAGTTCAATTTAGGGCAATTCACGTAGAGGATGCATTTGGTTTTGCTCAGTACATAGTACTCTGGCCCTCAATCTTTTCTGGTTTTCCACCAAACATTTTTCTTGGTCAGTCCAGCTGCCACTTTAGATCTCTAGTTCTTCCCATGCTGCTCTTCTGTTTGAAGAGAGATGCAAGAAAATCACCCTGTAACAACCAGGGCTGTGAGATATTTCCAGCCTTTGAATAAGCTGTACGGGATTTTTCCTCTTTTTATGTATTCTTTTTATTTTTTTTTTATTCCATGATTGCTGTCTGCATAGGTAAAGCCAGGCCCGGCAAATGCTGATAATTGAGATAAAACGCACGGCATTTAGGCCTTGTGTTAGCTGTGGGAAGGAAAAGAGGCATTTAGTACAGCTTTGCAGTGGATTGATACAGAGGTGGGAGCAGAGGAGTCTTTGGCGTGGGGTTTTCTCAGGAGCTTGGTGCAGAATTTTTATGCATGGCTTCCTGGGTAGCTGCACAGGTATTTATCCACTATTATAAATAGGAGATTGACATCTTTATAGATCTATTACAAATGTGTTCTCAGCTCAAGGTCACAGTTTTCTTCGTTCCTTGCGTGTAGCTTATTTGCTGCTTTTCCCCACACCTTAAGCTTGCTTTGGGGCTGGCGATCCATGCTGTGAACGCTCCTGTCTCTCATACTTCAGGTCCTGTTTTGCTGTCTTTTATCTGCAGGGATTTCTCCTGTGAACCATAATGTGCTCACACATTTTCTTGTTGCTGTTAGTGCCGTATAGATAACGTTTAAATGTATATATGTATTTTTAAAATTGTGCAGATTTGAAGACGTTAGGTTTTTTTGTTGTTTTTTCGCCTGGAATCTAGTAAGTTTGAGGGCTTTACCCTTGGTGGGAAAGCACTGAAGGTCTTTTTTGTACCTCTTAACCGTGTTCCCCATTTAATAGGATGGGTGACTTATGAAACCAGCTGGGTTGCTACTTCTTTTAGCCTGAGCTTGATGCCCAAATCACCTCAGGTTGCTTGAAGCATCAGAGAGACCTATTTGAGCCCCACCCTCACCATGGGTTGCTCACTTTCCTCGCTGAGTTTTGTCTCCAGTTCAAAGCCAAAGGCTTATCTGCTGCCTCTGAGGTGCTCTGAAGATAGGGATTTGCAGCTCTGCCGTGGAAAAGTGCTTCTCCAGGAGCTGCGCTCTTCTTGTGTGATGGGAAGAAGCCTCCTGCAGAAACTGTTCCTACCGGGCAATGAATTCCAGTCTGGTTTCTTCTCTGTTGGAGAAATAAGGGAAAATGGCTCCAGGTGATCAGGGAGAGCCACGTGAGCCCTTTTTGCAGGACGTTTGTTCCTCTAGACTGTTGTTGGTGTCTTTGCTGGGCATATACCTTGTTTCAGTTTGTGATGAATTTTTTTACTTCCTCTAGGTGAAACGTTTTGGAGATGACCACGGTTTCCACACGCTCCCATTTGTGGTTATTTGCGAGATAATGACTTTTTTTTGGCCTGTAAATTCCCAATCACTGTAAGCTTCTGATATTCAAAACCTGTAATTAAAGAAGTGAATAATTTTGCAAGGACATACCGATTGTGTGTTCCCTGATTTAGAGGAGTAACTTTTTTTTGGAACGGCATTTGTATCACGAATGTCCCCTTCTGTTAATTCAGATTTCATTTTGAAAATGTTCTCTAATATTCCTGTAAAAACTCAGTTTCAGCAAATGTTCCTTCTGGAAACTTCAGCTGCCGAACCGTGCAGAGAGACTGAACACAGGGAGAGTATGTGCTGGAGCAGAGAATTCATGTGGGTTGCTAGAAGGCACTCATGGGAAGCTGTGTTTAGTATTTCCCTGTGGGATTTTACCAAGGAACCCAAACCCCTTGACTTTCCAAGCTATTTAATAGTATTTTTATGCAGCCCCAAGGCTCGCCACCTTCCCTGCTTTTCTAACCTGTAGCATGCTTCTCCCCCCCCCAGCCTCAGCCTATTTGCTTCCCTCACCTCCCTGAGTGCAATACCTTTCCCATCTAACCTTCAAGGCTTTCTCACCGGCAGAAATTCCTGCAGGTGGAGCTGGAATGACGTCCTGCTGCTGGAATAAGTTATGAGGCATCGGTTGTCACAGAGTAATTGCTTCCCCAGTGGTTCCCTGTTCTCTCAATACGCCTGTGCACGCAGCTGCCCGGACGGGGAGCGTCCTGCGTGCCCACCATCCTCATCCTCAAGCCCCACAGGCAGTCGGAGCGGCGGGTGGCCAACCTTGCCCTTCAGCTCTTGCTAAATCGTGGCAGTTCGACCTCCTCCGGATCGCGGCGCTGGAATATCAAAGGATACGGGGCAGCAGTTGAGTTCATTTTCCTAGAAGAGGCGTCCTGATTTCATTCTGACAGGAGGGAATCTCATTCCGTTGCTTGTCCCCTAAGGACTGTGATGAAAGGCACGGTCTACAGCTGAAAACAATTTGTGACTGGCTTCAGCCATATCGCTGTTATCCATGATAAGGTTGTCCTCGCTGTGGCTTTGCGCTGATTTATCTAGAGAGGCCTCTCAGCTTTCCCAGATGCTGGGCAGCCCGAGGGGATGCGAGGACAGCAAGAAGATCAGGGGCTGGCTGCGCTGTTGCTGGCTAATTCTCCTGCTGGCTGTTTTCTGCAGGTGACTGTTGCTTCTAAACCTCAAACTGGAGATGTGAGGCGCTGGTTTGGCTCCTGCTGCACCTTCACTGTTAGATCCCACCAGCAGAGTGTCTCCCAGGCTGAGAAATAACTGCTCAAGCACAGGAGAGCTCCAGAAGGTTGGGAACATGCTCAAAAAAATTACATCTGTACACGATTCCAGCTGTGGGCGCCGGTATAAAAGGATAGAAGCTTGTGAGAGAGAAAGGAGGCAGGCTGGGTTGCATGAGAAGACTGAAATTAATTGTAGGCAGGCTGGGATGTTTCCTTTGCAAGTTGTTCATTATCCTGGAAGAATGGGGAACGTGCACTCTGGAAAGGCTCTCTTGAAGGCCGTGCTCCTGCAAAGCGATCCTTCCATGCCATCACTTGGGTGTGTTGAAGGGGAGGGGATGCCCAGCGCAGGGTCTCCTCTGTGCCTGCCCCCCCGTTACCTGCTGCAGGTGGTGAAGGGGTCTTAGGGGTGGGTATAGCTCTCCACGGGTGCCCCTTCGAGGGCGCGCTTCTGGGGGGCTGTGCCAGCAGCCTCACAGCCCCTGCCCCAGCGAAATGTGGCCGTCAGCCGTTTTATCTACAGCAGGTACAAAACACGGGGGCTGCTGAGCTCGCCGGTGGGTCTCCAGGGAGAGGCAGGATCGGGTGACGTGCCTGAGAAAGACCCTGTGCCCCTGCCTTGCTCCCTCCCCATTTGGGACATCTTTCAGCTTCAGGGCTTCCTGAGCTGGGTGTTAATCTGTAACTTGGCATTTAATAGCCCTCGATGGAATTCTGCCAGTTTGCTTCAACATTTGTGTTACGGGCCCTTCACACGCCCTGTTGCGAGGAGCTCTGCAGTTCCTGCCTTGGGTGGCAGAGCTGGAGGTACATTTCCGTAATGCTCCAAAGTCAGTTTTTCCTCCTATGTTGAGTTTTTGCAGTTACTTCTAGGGCCTCCGGTATCCTGACCTTTTTCTGGCAGGAGGAGCACCTTGCAGTCCTGCTTCTGATGTCTCTTTTTTCCTCTCTGAAGAGTTTTGGAGAGGGTGGCCCACTACTGTGGACGGGGCAGCAGGTCAGGGCTGGGGGAGCTGCTGTGCAAACTCTTGAGCTAGCGCTGGGGTTTGGTGCGAGGCCCACAAGGCTCTGCTTAAAAAAAAAAAAAAATAAAAATTGTATGTTCTCAGCTTTGCCCAAAATGCAGAGCTCAGCTCAAACAGCTGAGCTAAGCCAACCAAGGCACAACCCCCACCTTCCCTGCTGCGCTGCGTTCAGTGCGTTTCTCTGTGAATATCTGCTGGAAGACCTCACATATGTCCTGTCTCAGTGTCTACCTGGGCACGTCCATGCTCCTCGTCTGCGGAGCTGATGTTGTCAGTTCCCTCTCCCCTGTGTGTTTTCTCTTTCCCTTTTTATTTTATTTTTTTTTTTTTTTTTGCCTACAGTTCAAGAGCCCAGGTTATTTGAGCACAGTAAACACTTTTTTTGATAGTTAATGACATGAATAAATCCTTTTCCTCTCCTCCCCTAGTTTATTATTTAAGGGGAGAAGATGGTTAAATCCAGCAGAGCTGATCTGAACTCTGTTAGCAGGAGGAGGGCGGCCGATGGGGATCTGTCAAGCCGCAGCGTTTGCGTTCATCAGCATCTTGGGAGAAACAGCAAGGCCAGCTGCTTAGAAACATCTGGTTTTGGTTGTTCTCCCTCCACCCCCACCTTTGCTTTTCTCTCTTTCTCTGTTTTTGGAGACTTCAGCATTACTGATGAAATGTTGGATCTAGTGGGATGACAGCTTGGTTCCTACTCGAGTACGAGAGTCCTGCCAGGGTACTGGGTTGGATTCTAAGCAAGGGTCAGCCAGAGCAGTAAAAAAACTGCCGGCTGGTTGCAGGTTTCTGAAGGAGAAGCTCTTTGTGTTTGAGGGCAGGCTCTGTGCGCCCGAGGGCCTGGTTTCTGGTTAATATAATGCCAGCATGAAGCAGGGAGGCAAAGCCAGGGCCCCTCTGTGCAGAGGGAGAAAGTGTTTTCCTAACCTCGGTGGCATGGAAACACAAGCAGTCAGGGCAAAAGAAGCCCCAGTAGAGTTAATTAAGTGTTGCATTTAAAAGGTGGACTCAAATGGAATTGCTTTGCATTTATTGACGTTAGCTTTTCCCTGCTCTTGAGGGTTGGACAAGGGTTGAGCACCTGTGCTGTTGGAGACGGGAAGGCAATCTGGAGAGGTGCATTAGTGTTGGACTCGGCTGTGGGGTTTGAGAGAGCAGCTGTGAGCTCCTCCGAGCAGCGTTTTTGCTCGCCAGCAAGCCCTTAGCCTGCCGGGTGAAGGCAGTGTGCTGTATGTGCAGTCAGGAAAGATGCAGGGGTGGAGGGTCCCCTTTGCTGTCACCTTGACTAAAAGATGCGTCTATAAAATGGGTACCTGCTGGAGACTGAACCGACAGAACTGGGGCATATGTGGAGCAGGGTGTCATCTTCCAGTGCTGCTCATCCCGGCTAATTAAGTGGGGGGCTAAATAACCACGGCGGGGCCCTGTGCTGACGTGGTCGACTGGCTCAGCGTTGGCTTGGGTTCTCCATTAGCCAGAGGGATCGGTGGCTGCGCGGTGCCCACATCCCCTGAAGGCTGCGGCTTGGCCGTCGCCGGGGTTAGGAACCTGTGACTTGAAATAACCCGTGCCGTTTCGTGTGGTCTGGGTGCCACTGAGACCCGAAAATTCAGAGTAATCTTGTTTGGTGTCTGCCCGCACCTTGCTAGAGGGGAGTTCTGTTCCGCTAAAAAAACCCCACAGCGAGCGAGTGCCAAAATGAACTGTTCAATGGATAAAGCAGAGCAGGGTCCTTCTCTCGGCGTCAAAATGGAGCTCCTAGCCTCACCTATTCACACCTGCCAATATTTTAGTGGGATAGCTTAAGTCTCATGGTATTTTGGCAATAGAGGATGACTTGCAATATTTCAGACTTTCTTGAGGTTGTCCTTTCACCTGGCTGTCTTTTCCCTTCAGACTTCTGTGCTTCTGATGACTGACTTTATTATCTTTGCTATTTCTAACCCTCCTTTTGGTCCCGGTCGGAGCTTGATTTCTGCTGGGGGGAAGATGGAAAAGGTCAGGCTCTCACTAGTGAAGCTTATTTAATTTGTTTGCTGCGTCTGCGGGCAAACTTTCATGTATGTTGCTAGTATGAACTACCAGGACCCTCCTGGATGCATGGGCCCTGTGGTTGCTTATGTATACACCTTTTTTCCTCTTGTTCTTTTCTGCCATCTGGCCCAGTATTCCCAGTTTTACCTCTCCTACAAGAGAAAAGCTTAGTGGACTCCAAACAGTAAATAAAACTGACATTTGCAGCAGTCAGTCTGATACAACAGGACTGGGATGCAGCAGCACTTCTTTGTTTGGGCTTGTTTCCACTCTTTATTTAAAGCCTCTTCTAATCAGGAGCTAATGACAACTTTTGGTTGCGAGAGCTGATGCACAGGAAAAAAACAAGTTTGCATTCAAAATAATGCAAACCGTTATAAATAGGAAGATCTGCAAGGATATAATCAAGCTAAATTGCCCATTGTTACTCTCACCATAGATGATTTCTTGCCTCTGCTATCTGGGTTGGGTTGTCGTCTGGGTTTAGGGAAAATGTGTTCTCTCTTTATTCCAGTTATAAACCTATGCAGCAGCAGCTGGTTGTTGCAAGGGTGGATTTTGCTCTGGTTTTTTTTTTTTGTTTTTTTTTTTTTTTTGTGCAGATCAAGCAAATGTTTTGGTGGCTTGGATATTGCCATTCAAATTGCCTCATGAAAACTGTCAAACAGGCTCCTGCCACTCTCTTTCTGCAACTAAACTGACCCCTTAAGGTGGACCCATCTCCTCGGGGAATG